ATAGCATATATGCAGGGATGGAAATTGATTTTATTCTCTGAGTGCTCTGCTGAGATGCACAATGATTTTTAATTCAAACCATATTACATGCATTTCAAAAATAATTTAAAAAAACGTGTGTGTGCGTGTGTGTGTAAGGGTGTTTGGTATAATATTGTTTAAATCAGACTACTGAAAAAATACTCCCTTGAGAAAAAGTTCTTTGTCCATATAAATCAGGGAAATGCCATTTCACTTAGCAGCTCTGGGAGATGCACCGTGCACATCAGCATGTTGAGGGCCTGAGGGTCTCAGCCATCGGAAAGGATGAACCACTGCCATTTGTCACAACTCGGGTGGATCTTGAGAGCATCCTGCTAAGCGAAATAAGTCAGATGGAAAAAGGCAAGAACCATAGGATTTCATTCCTGTGTGGGATGTAAAACAGAAAGCAACAAGTGAACAAATGAAACAACCTTACAGACACAGAAACAGAACGTAGTTACCAGAGGGGAAGGGGCCGGAGGAAAGAGGAAGAGAGTGAAGGGGTCAAGTTGACGGTGACGGCGGGAGACCAGACTTTGGGCGGTGAGCACAGTGCATTGTACAGACAGGCGATGCATTGTAGAATTGTACACTTGAAACTTATATAATGTTGCTAACCAGTGTCGGCCCGAACTTTTAAAGAAAGATCTGAGTATTTAACCAATTGCTTCCCAAATATACTTGATCACAGAATTCTTTTTATTTTGCCAATATCACAAGACACTAGTGTTGTGAGAAACACTCTTTAGGGAGCACTATGTAAAGATAATACTTTACTCAGTGTTTTAAAATTCCCTTCTAACATCTTACTCCAAATAATAAGACTGATAATTTTTTTGTTGCAGGGCTCACTCTGCATTGCTCTGGGTTGGGGTGCCTAGAAGAAGAGATCAATGGGAAATATGGGGAAAATCATTAAAACAAACATTGTGCCCTCTCATACACAGACAGTTCAATTTTTTTAATGCAGTTATTCAATCTCACCATTTTTAAAGGCACAATTTCTTGAAACAGTTAAATTTTGTGATAGCTCTCTGGTCTCTAATTTCAGTTAAAGAATAGAATAGATCTTTTCAAGGCCACCTTGCCTTCCTTCGCTTTATCAGTAGTCATTTCAGTCATTTGCCATCAGCCTTCTGATGATTTTGTTTTTTTCCTCCAGTTCCTAAAATAAGTTAATAATTGCCAAGCGCCTATAAATCTTCTGGAGACTGAATGTTTAAAAAGAATCCCATGTACATTAGCCTAGTGATCTTCACACTTCTCCTCAGCCTCAGCATCTGCCTCTAGGGATCATTGATGCAGCCCCTCTGCCCTGGGCCTTGGCAGTATTTACATAACAGTTGTATCTTCTGTTAGCAGAACTAATCTATTTCCCTCTTAAATACCTGACCTATGCACTGTACCTGAGGTTACTTCTAGTGACCTTGGAGCTGGGCAAATGTATAATTGAGGATATTTGAGGATTGAGATGTTCATTCCCATAATTCTAGGGAGGCTGGGAAAGGCAGACTGTCCAGTTGCAGCTGCTTCTCAGGACAGAAACAGAGCTGGCTAGGGTGTGGGCTGTGTGCGGCAAGGAGGGTCAGGCTCGGGAGAGGCCGTGCAGCTTGGCAGGGCCTAGGCAAAGCAATTTGCTGTGCAGTTTCAGTGTGAGCCCCTCCACGACCCTGTCAGTAATCTCAATACACTTAGCAGAAGCCAGGCTAACATAGATTTATTTCTTCAAGATTGCAAAGAGAAACAACCAGCAGAGATGAGAGGAGACTGAGAAGACCAGAGGTAATTAGACTGGGAGCTCATTGATATGATGATACAGGTCCTGAATTCTTAACACATGATGGAATTGGGGGGTTGAGCCAAGTTTACCTAGAGATCCACAGCGCAGTGAAGTGACATGACATCTGAGTTACAGGTGATTTCAGCTTGATCAGTTCACAGAATAAAAAGAAATAGATTCAGACCATAGCTTTGCCTCTGGCATGAAATGATAAAAACTGTGAAGGTGCTTGAGTGATCTTGCCAAAACCACACCTGCATGCTTGGATAAAGTATTTTAGCAGTAGGTTGGAATGAACTTTTAAGCAGCTCGTCATCTTTGTATGAATGAATGGAAGGGAGCTAATTGTCTCTGTGTGTCTGGAAAAGTTTAGTAGGTGGGGGAGCGGTAGGAAGAAAGGGACGTTTGCAATGTCGCCTCAGTTACCTTCATGCCAGCAGTTGCTGTAAGTGGCAAAAATACACACAATGTTTTCAGAACCCCTGGCTCCCTTTTTTGTTGTTAACTCCCCTTTTAGTATTTGGATTATTCTGCCAACAATGGGATAAAAAGCAGGCAGCTGGTGGTAAAGCCCTGTGTAAGTGGGGGATGAGTTTATACTTGTCATTTTACGTGGCAGCAGTAATTAGGGGGCCTGTGGGAGGCCCTTTTGTTCCTTTAACATATTCATACCAGAGAAAACTCGAGGAAATCCAATTCTGGTTGCACCTTAAATACCCTTTATCCTTTCATAAGTAATGGGAGTTTTAAAAAATATATATAAAAAATTAGATATCCTGTGACCAGGTCTCTATTTGAAAGGCAAAATACTACAGACATTTATGTGAAGAATAGAGTGAAAATCAGTTCATGAAAAACCTTAGGAGATTTGTTTTGTTTTTAAGATTGAGCGCTCTTTGGTTTCTCCTTCACTTTTAGAAATCTGGATTAGATGTAATGAAGTAACTTTTTGAAAATTTGATTGAGGTATGTACATGCCACCTTATGGGTGCTCTTGCTAACACCTGAAAGTGCCTGTGTCACAGAGCAGTCATCACAGCCACCACTTCTTGTCACCGGTGATGCCCAGTCAGTCCTGCCACACTTGGTGCTTCAGTTATTGAAGGGCACGAGGAGATGGGGGCGCAGATGCTGAGGAGGGTGGTAGTGGGGGGGGGGGCAGCTTGTCCTCTGCCTGCTTTATCTGAGTCATTTATCCTGATAACAGTGCAATCACAAGTAAAATTATTTTAAAACACATGACCTGTACATTATATTTTTGGATAATCCAGTCACCTTAAAAACACCCACCTGTTATAGAAGAAACTCTTAATAGTAGTTGCCTCTGAGGAGGGGAATTAGGGACAGTGGTGGGAGGGAGATTTTGTTATTGTGTATCTACTTTGGGAATTTTAGGCATTTGTACCATGAATATTTATATGCTATATATTAAAAAAAGCAAAAGGAAGAAAAAATCCCTCCAAGCCTCCCCATCTCCTGGCAGGATGCTTGGTTTCCCACCCTGCCCCCAAGGACCTTCTGTGATTTCCTCTGCACACCCTTTCCCATCCCTCCCCCCAGTTTCTTTCACTTTTGAGGAAAATGCTTTCTGAATTCATTGACTTCTCTGCCTCACCTCTAACTTTGTACTCCCTACCCCTTTCATGAATGTCAACGAAGATTTCTTACCGTGAAATGCAGTAACCTCCTCTGAAACCCTGCTTGACCTTTCTGGGTCATGAGACTTGCACTCTCCTCCCAGCCTCCCTGGCCATTGCCTCCTGGTCCATTTTGATCTCCCTCGTCTCTGCCTTGATTCCACCTTTGTTCACTCTGTGCTGTTGTTCTGAGCAAGTTTTTTTTTTTTTTTACACTCTTGGGCGAAATCATCTGTGTCAGCAGATATGACCTCACTTCTCCCCTCTATACCTGCATGTTTACTGGCCCACTAGGCATGTTTACTTCTCAGTTCCATGGACACCTCAAGACAAAAATAGCCTGAACTTATTGTCCATTCCCTCACCATCCAAGTCCCCATTTCCCCCAACTTGCTGTATTTTAGTACTTAGCAGCACCCACGCCAGAAACCTGGGAATTGTCCTAAGTTCTTCCTCCACTTCGGAAGGCTTTGGAGTTGCAGGTTGCCTTGCTGTAATGTGCATATACTGGCTCTGTTTTCATCACACCCTTTCACTTTTTCAAATAAACTTCTAAATTGGGCCTCCTTCCAGATGGACTTGGGAGAAATTTTATGCATATGAATGTTCTGTCCTTATTAAAGTAGCAGAGGGCAGGGGGGACCATTGTAATTATTCCTCTGCTTTGACAGTTTTGTTTACGAATCCATAGAAACCTCATTCCAAGGGGTTTCCTGGAATGAGCTTGTTTTTTTGTGTTGGTTTTTTTAAAACTAAATTGACAATTATATAACTTTACAGAGCTTATGGTTTATTATTTTGGTACTTAGGTTCTATTTTGCTTTATTTCCTATTCAGTCATTAAAAAAAATAAATAGTGCCTCTTCTCCTGCACAGAATTACCTCTACTATCGCCTTTGTTTCTTCTGTATTAATTATAGATAATTAAGTAACCACTGGATTAAAATTACACTTAAAATTTATTATATACCTATTATATGACATTTTACGTCTCTCATATCTTTTAATTTAATTCACCGAGTAACTTGATGCAGAATGGAGAAAGTCAGAATTAGACATTGTTTAACTTGTCCAGATGATACTGTTGTGCTGATTGTTTCCCTCTGTGACCCTCTTGGGATTCTTTAGACTGATGGCCTGGACATCCCTAAAAGTAATACAGTTAAGAACTGGATTCATAGGCATCTCTTTTTTATTGGGAGTTGATTTGCACACAGTCAGCATTTTTCCCGTTTTGGTGCCCATTTGTGACCGACAAGTTTGTGGTACTTCAGTGCCATCACCCTGGTTATCCATGGCCATGGGTGATATAGAGGTAGGTGGTAAAGGTGATGACACCGAGATTTACATGGAACTTATATTTTCTCGTTTTAATTAATTAAGGTTTCAAGGCAAACCTCTAAAACTAGTTACAAAGAGATAATTATTTGTTTTATGTGCCAACAATAATTTGCCTTTTTACTTGAATTTTTGTTACTTAGAGCAGAAATTCAGGTGGCTGTCATCTGAAGAATGTTATGGTCAGTAATTCATGTTCTCTCTCTTTTCTTCTCTCTCAGTGCAATGAAACCTCATTCTTTTTTGAAGCTCGAAGTAAAACTGCTTGTAAGCATCTTTGGAAGTGCAGCGTAGAACATCATACATTTTTTAGGTATGTTAATGTGAAAGTTTATTCACTGTTCTAATGAAAATTGCATTTGTTTTCATAAGAAGAATTCTGTTGTCTACAAGTAGAAATTTAGAAGTTTTTCTCTTCTTTTTTTCCAGTTACCTAATTCTCATGATCATAATGAATAGAAATAGATATATATGCACACACATACATACACACACAAACAACACACACATAGGTATCTTCTATGCTCACATTATAAGAAAATGCTAAGGACAACTTTGTTTGTGGACATAGTAAATTTGAAATATCTGTTAGTCATGCAAGTGGAGATGTTGGGTGTATAAGGCTTCCTGGAAAGACCAAGGTTGGCCATGTAAATGTAGTTAGTATTTAAGCAAAGAGGACTGGGTGAGGTCACCTGTGAAAAAATGAAGAGAGAAGCAGAAAGCCAGGACTGGGCTGTGGGACCCTCCAGCATTTAGAGGACAGGAAGAGCCAGCCACAGACTGCATAAAGGAGTAACAGGAAAGTGTCCAGGAAAATGGGAAATGAGGGAGGAAAATGCCATGTTGAACAGGGAGTTGGCAACTCCCTTGCATGCTGTGCTCCCGGGAGGTCAAGATGAGGGTGGAGAATTGACCCTTGGGTTGTGGGTACACTCTTTATTTCACATCCTTACTGTGTAAATATAAAACTGAATTTTATCAGGTAGTACATTAAGCTTTGTGTTTTCAAATTTAAAACTAGATTAATTCTTTCCCTTTTTCCTATTTGATTTGCATGGAACCATTTCCCCAAATAGCATGATATTGGAGAAGTATTCTTATAAAATGACCAATGTCCTTTATAGAATTTGTATTAGGAGAGGGATGTTGCCCAGAAAACCTGAGACATTACCTCTAGTTCAGTGGGCTGGGTGGAGGAGCTCCCCATGGAAGTGTCTGTTAAGGTACCCAGGAGTGGGAAGTGCTGGACTATAGTACAAAGACTGAACCACCCATCAGATAGGAGTAACTGCTGTGAGAACCTTGGCCTGGGTAAATCAACATAGTGACAAAAGTTCCCAAGATTATTTAAGCAGAGAAAGTAATTTGACTCACAACTAAAGCTTCTGAGGGCAATGATGTCTTTAGAAAGTATGAGTATTTTGATATTATACACATATAAATTCCTAGAGTATGGTTGTGTTTCAACTGTTACCTTATAATAACTGATTATTATTTCCTGCCAATATGCAGAACATATATATGTGTATGTGTGTGTGTATATACATACATATTTTTTAAATTTATCTTTACTGTTGAAAATATTACAGATGTCCCCTTTTTTCCCCATTAACCCCTTCTACCTCCTCACCCACTTCCTGCCCCAGGCCTTCCCCACATTATTGACTGTGTCCATGGGTTATGTATATATGCATGTAAATTCTTTGGTTAATCTTTCCCCACCCTCGCACCCACCCCCATCTTCTCTCTGAGATTCGTCAGTCTCTTCCGTGTAGAACATCTATTGACTAGCTGTTAAAGTGTTGCATGATTATATTTTCTACATAGCTTTTGTTCAAGTGCTGCATAAGTATCTGTATTTATGAGTCTTTATTTAATTTTATTTTAAAAATTCATTAGAATGCCAGAGAATGAATCAAATTCATTGTCAAGAAAACTCAGCAAATTTGGATCCATGAGTTATAAGCACCGGTATAGGTAAATGTCATTTTTTCCTTTGGGGGGTATGTGTGAATACATAAATAGTTAATTAATCTGTCCACATACATGCACATTAAAGTTTTTCTCTTATATTTCTACAGTGCCAATGAGTTTCATAAGCATAATAGTTTATTAAAACTTTTTTGACAAAAATGATTTCCCAGGTTTAATTCTATTTATTGTCTGTATTAGCTCTGTTAAGTTTAGGACTTTTAGAATGTATTAGAGCTTATCTTCTGAAATGTATTTTGATGTACATGTTACTTATTTCTAATTATCTTGTGATTATGAAACAAAATAGATATTTTGAGTAATAGCTGATTGGTGTTCTTAGGCCATTCAGTTGATCCCGTTGTAACACAATGTATACTTCATATCGTGGATCAGATTGTGTTTTGTGCAGCATAAAGCCTACATATAGTAATGTTAGCAATTATATCTAAACTTTATTGTGCAGTTACTAAGTGCTGTGTATTATGCTAAATGTTTTCCATTATTTTGTTTAATCATCTCAGTCTTCTTAATATTATCCTCATTAATATGTGAGGAAACTAAGGCTCAGCGAGGCCAAGTCACTTCTCAAGATAACCCAGCTAGGAAGCAGTAAGTGGGGCTCTCACCCTGGCAGTCTAACTGCAGAGCCTGTGCTTCTCTCCATGAGGCAGACTGTTAGCATGTTGCAGGAAAAGCTGGTTGTGATTGTCATGCAGTCAGGCAGGTGCTTGTTAAAAGTAGGAGCCTTCTATGTTTTGAAAAAGAATTTGTTTTGTTTCAACTCCTTTTGCTAACGTTGAGCCTGTGATGTGCAAGATGTGGTCTTGGGTGCTTAGAGAGACAAAGACTCAGGTCTAACCCCCTCTGCCTTCAGAGAGCTACAGTATCATTCAGGTAGTGAGGCTGTTCCCAGGCCCTGTGAATCCCACGCAGGGTATAGAAATGCTGCTTAGGAAGTGGGACACTGCTCTGTCAGTCCCACTGTAGACGTCACTATAGGTGTTATTAGGAGACTTACAAATAAAGCCGAGTCAAGTGTTTGCAGGACAGTGGTATGCCAGATTTTAATTCTTCTCTTATAATCCACATTTTTGGTCTTGAATTTGAAACCAGAGATAGTACCAGAGTGATTAATATTAAATGTTCCCTGCATTCATCTTTACATATTATTCACTTGGATATTTGCAAATTTGATTATTTAAATAAGACTTAAGTTATTATCTTACAGATGCTCTTGGTATTTGGTGTTCATTGACATCTAAAAATTTAACCTTTTGGTTACCAAGGTTCTTTCCCAGACAGTGACATAATTATCAGGAATTTAGGGGAAGAAGACCTATTTTTAGATTAAGATGAATAGCTAATAGTCACCACTTGGGCTGTTTTCCCATCGAGGGCATAAAACATTTCAGGGGTATAGAGGAAATATGTATCTGTCTCTGCGTTCCTACTATGAAAACTGCAATTATGCTGTTTAACATATGCTGTAGTTGGTTTCCACAAATTTACTCATACCTGATTTCTCAAATTTATTGAAATGCAAATGTTGTGACTACTGGGAATTACTATTATTGGATTTTGCATATTAAATATCATTTCTTCCAAGAAAGTAATTAAAGGCAACCATTGCAGAACTGGAAGCTCTGCTAAATCTGTTCTAATTTGGTGGCTGGTCTTTACTGCCTAGTCAGTCTTAATGAAACCCAAATCTCCGTGTCTGTGTGTAAGAAGCACTAACGTTACACTATCCTGGGAAGAAATACGTTTCATCCCACTGCCCAGAGCTAGGCGTGGGCAGGGATGGATCTCAGACTGCTGGGTGGTCGCCAGCGTGTGGACTGTTAATTGTCAAAGGAGGAAAAATAATCAGCTTTTAACAAACCTCATATGCCTGCTCCTTTCTTGAGATACTCTATAGATCTTGTGGAACGAAAGCAGAGCTCTGGAAACACAGACTGCCCCTCCTTTACCCTGCAGGCTTTTAGAGCATGGGGGGTGAAAAACAGCAAACAGCCCTGCGGATGTGGGTGTGTCTGTATTTGTGTGTGCGCTTGTAATTGTGTGTAGATGTTTATAGTGGTGTGTGTGTAGGTGTATGTGATGTAGAAAAACAGAGTTCGGTCTTTATTCCTTTCCTGCATTCTCGGGCTTGCAGAGTACCAAGGAGATTCCAATGTCTTTTAGGAAAATTAGTCGTTACTTAAGAAGGGGAAAGTTACACATTTTTAGTGATGTGTGACAGTCAACCCTTTCCAAAACTCCAGATTAAATTTGTGGCAAAAGGCTGAGCTGAAATCTTACAATGGAATTCCCTTGTTGCTGTTTTATTATCAGAGACCAATAATCTGAAATAGATGTTGATCAGATCTTTGATTAAAATATTTTATTGTACGCTGATATCTCTTTCTCTGAGCCCCGTAGAAATTAACTTTGCCTCTGCCTGTTGTTAAGTTTGTAAGGGACTCCTGGTTTTGATGAATGAGTGAGTTGTGTAGAACTTATATTCCAGAAATGAGAACTGGGCCTGAGAAACACTCCTGGTAACCCAGATGACCTTCTCGTAGGACTTAAATCACATGAACTTCCTACATTTATTTTATTTTTAAAGTATTTTTTTATTGATTTTAGAGAGAGAGGCGAGGGAGGGAGAGAGAGATCCATGTGAGAGAGAAACATCTATTGGTTGCCTCCAGCATGCACCCCAACTGGGAATCGAACCGGTGACCTTTTGGTACATGGGACGGCTCAGCCAACTGAGCTACTCTGGCCAGGGCCTACATTTCTGAAAGCACGGAAGAGAGAACACGTTCTGAGAACCATCTTTGTGTCAGGTGCTCCTCATTTATACAGATGAGAAGTTTGAGCCCCCAGCCCCAAAGTAAACTAACTGAACTAAAGGCCTTTAACCAGTAAGTGGCAAAGCTGGGATTTGAACCCAGGCGTCTCTGTTCTTGTTTTCTTTACTCCACCGATTGCCGATTGTGCTGCCACTTTGGGGCTGAAGGGCCGCTCAGCGTAGTGTGTGCCAGAGTGTGAGGAGGAGGGGAAGTGGGTGATCCTGGAAATAAATCTCTGTCCTGTCACTACAGAGAGCCATCAGGCACTGTAAGTCTCTCTAGTTATCAAACACTTTCTGCTACAACGAAATAGTAAGGAGACCGCACAAGACTATTTCTGCTAGGAAATGGTAAGAACAAGTAGAAATGTATTATTAAAGGCTCTGGGAGATTAAAGACATAACCTGCCGAAGACCGTACAGGCCTAACGGAGCTGTGTTTTTTGTACCAGGTTTCAACTTCAAACCAGTGGCTGTGTGTTCTCCCCCCCTCCACTGGCTGTGCCACGCTCACCAGCTGGGGGTCAGGGAGCTTGTTCTAGTCCCTGGTCCCGTGTGGCCTGTGGCAGATCAGTTTATGGTTCTGGACCATAGTTTTATTAATCTTGTGATATGATTTTTGTCATTTCTCCTTTATTCCTGAGAGAGAAGCCATGAGGAAAAATTGAATAATAAAGTACATGTAATCTCATTATAAAGTGCCTCAGCGGTCCACATAATGTCTATGTTTTTAGGGCAAGTATTTTTTCTTCTGTGCAATAAAGTCTTATAGCCCAGAAGTCTGTTGGAAGTAGGTCTTATCTTCCACTCCAAACTATTTGTAATAATGGAATTTTGCTCCCTATAAAGATTTTTTTTTTTTTTTTTAGCTTTTTCAGGAGAGAGATGTTGCTGTTTGTGTTAGTTACCTTATCTGCTACCTTTAAAAAATAAATTTCAAGTGAAAGAAAACCTGTCACAGTTTGCTTACCTCTCTTCCTCTGGTTCTCACGAGCTATTGAACACAAAATACACTCATAGATAGAACCCGGCATCTTCATTCATGGCAGCTCAGATCAGGTGTCCCCAGTTAGCTTGACGAGAAGCTACTTTTTATGAGTGTTTCGAGCATTTAAAAAAAAAAATTTCTAAGAAATGTGGATGGGGTAGTGAGGAGGTGAAACTCTCACAGAAGTATGTAGGAGGTGAATTTTGCTTTATAAATCTCATTGGGAGAGATTTGCTGATATTTATTCTGTAAATGTAGGATGAGTAGGATTTGGGGCCATTAAAAGGCTTTCTGTTCTCACATTGATGGCTCTTCTTGAGGTGAATCAAACTAGACAAATAGGAGTGCATTTTTCCTTGTACCTAAGTGATATTTTAGGTGAAAATTTCGCCTAAAATATTTAGGTGAGAGCCAGGGTCATTCTTTGGCTCCAGTTCAGCGTCTGTGGAATCAGTTTCTAGCCGGGTGAATGTTCACTGAAATCCAGCCAGTGAAATTGCCAGTTCCCTGAGATTAGCCCATCCCCACGGAGCGCTCACCCCGGAGCCCTCGCAGCGCCTTGAGGGAGGCGGCACTGTGCCTGCGTTGCAGGCCTGCTTTACACCTTCCTGGGCCCCCGGGCCGGCACAGGCGAGGGGGCATAGCAGACGGTTGGTTGTGCCCTGGCAGGGTTGAGAGTAGATCACACAGTGGGCCTGTGGGGATGCTTTACAACTTGCCATGGAAGTCTAACATGATTCGTGTAGTCATTGCCCTTGTGGAGTTCAGCCCAACGTAATTTCATTATTTGGTTGTAGAGCTGGAAGGCGATCAGCATTTTCTGTTTCCAGCCCTTCATTCTGCTCAAGTCTAAACCTTACTCCTCTTTAATAAATCCCCTTTCCCTATTTCTTCTCCTGAAAGATATTCCTCCTGTCTAACCTAAATGTTTCCTGTTAGAATGTAATACTACTTCCTTGGTTAATATTGCAGTGAGAATCAGTTGAAAACCCATATATGCTTGTAGACCATGTGAGTGTTGTTGTTTTTTCCTTCCATACGCAGGGATTCTGAGTGAGCTGTTGTTTAATTTTGTGGCTATGTGGTTTTACCTGTGTTAATCAAAATGTTGCATTTTCAAGTGGCAGGACAGCGTTGCAAATGAATCGAGATCTTTCTATTCAACTTCCGCGGCCAGATCAGAATGTGGCCAGAAGCCGGAGCAAGACTTACCCTAAGAGAACAGCACAGACACAGCCAGCTGGTAAGTCACTGATGTAAACCTGCATCTCCTTTTAGGCTGGTGGGGTAAGATGCCCAGGTGGTGACTAGAACCCAATAGTGTTTAATTGTTAATATAGAATTTTTAATTTGACCCTGAAAATTTCTAAGAGGCCAGAAATTACTAACAAGCAGACAAGTAGTCAACTTAAATCACCATAACCTGCTTAATGACTATACTTTCTTTTTGAAGAGATTAAATGAAGTCACAACTGAGTAATTTCTTAGTTGGGTGTATCTGGGATCGGAATTGAAACAAACTCTTAGAAAAAGTCTTTTTTTTTTTTTTTTAAAAGGAACACTTGATATAATCTATAAATAATTCAGTAGGTTTTTTGTTATTGTTGGCCTTTTATTGTGAAGTATAATATACATATAGAAAAATGTATAAAATATATATATATGCACATATACATATAAGTGTATACATGTGTACATATATATGCACACACACAAAATTTATGTAGCCTGCAAGCCAAGAAGTCCTTCCTGTTTGTTCGCATATTTACCGTCCTCTCCCTTCCCAACCAGAAAAAAACACTATCTGACTTTGTGATCATTATTTCCTTACTTTTTGTTAGAATTTTACTACTTATGTAGGTTTCTCTGAGCAAACTAATTTATTTTGCCTGTTTTTAACATTATGTGAATGAGCCATGGTCTGTGTGCTCTTTTGTCTTGCTTCTTTCTGTTGGTACTATGTGTATATACAAAAGTACATTCATTTTTCTTGCTGTGAGCATCCTATTATATGACAGTTTTTCATCCATTCTGCTGTTGATGGACATTTGGGTTCTTCATATTTTTTTTTGTTTTTAATGCAGACTACTTCTTTAATAAAACCACCTGATCAGTTTTAATCCACATTCAGTGTTCGTAGAATTTTACTGACTTTGGTTGTGACTTGCTTATAGATCTCCCTGCCGGACACTCTCCCCAGACTTTTCACAGATATTATCTCACTTGCGCCTCACAATAGCCCTGTGAGGTCGGGCAAGGCCCAGAGCATGTTCCCATTTTGCAGATCAGGAAGACACGGTCCAGCCGCTAGATAGGGGTGGGCCGGGACGAGAGCCCAGGTCTCCTGGGTCATTTTGCTATACAGCATTGTGTGAAGTGAATGGAATTTTTGATAACAATAACAAACCTCTGAACATTGCGTGACAGTTGCCATAGCATATGACACCCATTGTTTCATTGAACTCTCATGCCAGGGCTATGAAGAAAGTGTTTGAGTTTGCTCCACCGCTGCTGGCTGTGAGAATGTCACTTGATGTATTGTTTCTAAAGCCAAATTAAATCTGATTGTAGGTCCCTTCCTCTCCCTGGGCTGGGAGGAAATTCAATTCTTTCTGATGGGTCTACAGTGGCCAAAATAAGACATGATTTAATTTTGCTGTAGATTATAGTGCCACGTAAGTATTATCTTTATCCCCATTTGGGTGATGAGCACACTGAGATTTAAAAAGGTAATTTGATCAAGATTACATAATTTAGCTTAGGATAAAAATTTTAGCCTTAGTATTTAATATCTTTATGTTCATCTTTTCTATTTATTTTTGTATATGAGCAGCTTTAAATTCCATTTAGATCAAGTCCGGCGTGGTGTAATCAGTAAGCAAACTTTCAAATCCTGTGCTGTTTCTGAAGTGCCACGCCTCATGAAATTATTCTGAGATGCACTGAGAATATCGAAAACATGCCCTGCTGTAAATCAACATTTCATTCCTCTTGAGATGCAGGAATCATCGCCCATGCTTTTTGTACAAACCTGTGCAGGTTGCTTCTTATATGTTCCTAAAGAAATATCTGCCTTTGTAATGCTTTTTTTTGGGCTCCTTTTGGAAGCCCAAATTCTAGAAACTGATTAGTTCAGGGAAAAGGGGTTTTGTTTTTGTTTTTGTCATGGCTTGTGCAGATCCAGTGAAATGCAGTTTTCACCGAGCAACCGGGGACTGTATTGAGTCCTCACATCTACTTTCCACCCTAAACTCCACCTCCCTGTGTCCTGTTAGGGGCTGAGAATGTAGCTAATGCACGGCCCATGATTCTCTGGGACAGCCTCTCAGCATCAGGTGGATCTTTTAAGAATGGAGCACATGTTAAGCTTTTATTATTATAAAGATACATGGTTGTGTTAGAAAATTTAGGAAACTTAGAACCTTTCCACCTAAAAAGAAAAAAAATTTATATTCAATTCCATTCCCCCATGTACTAACACTATATTATGTAGCCTCTAGTCATTTGTATATCTTTACTGCAGAAGTTATGTAGTAATATTTTACAACTTACTTTTCTTCTCTAATAATATATTATGGATATGTTCTAATAAGTTTTTTAATGTCCTTATACAGCACCATTTTAAGAGCTATATAATTTATTCCTGTGTAGATGTGTGATAGACTTGACATAATTTATTCAGCCAATCTTTAGTTCTTGATACTGAAGCTGTTTCAGATTTAGAAGGCTGTAAATGTAACACGAACGGATGTCCTTGTAGTAACACCTTTAAGCATTCATGCTAACTTATATATCTCTTAAACAATGGTGTATTTTCATCATTTTTATTTTTAAGAGAGGATTAAACAGTGCTGCGTATAAAAACTAAGACTTTTCTGTGCATACATTTCACTTTGATTTGAATTACTTCCAGCCTAACTTTTCAGTCCTGTGTTCCACAAAGCTGTGATGTGTTCTGGGGACCCAGAGGTGACCCTCCCCTGACAGTGTGTGATTGTCTGGAGTGGGGATGGATCATTTAGCAAATGTCAATTGATGCAGTGTTATAGTTGCTGTCATGCACACATGAAGGATGTTGTGAGGGAGGGATTAACGTTATTCTGTTTCTTTAAATGTTACGTTTTCTCTTTCCTCTAATTCACATGTACTCTGCTTTGAGCCTCATTTGAATCCAGCTGGCAGAGACCCAGTCTCAGCCATTTCCCACCCCTTAGGTCATGGTTGGGTTCTAACTTGGAGCAGAGTATTTGAAGGGGGCCCTCTTGTCTTCAACTGTATTAGTCACTGCTGTGCGTGACTTGTAACTCTAGAGGACATTCTCTTATTTCTTCTGAAGAAACTCAGTCAAACTTGATGGCTGCTCTCCTTAACCTTCCACTCAGCTCTCTGCAGATTACAAAACCCTTTGTTTCACCTCTCAGTCAGGAATAATAAATGCCCTGGTAGCTAGAAAGCCATTGTGTTTAGAGCCCGCCAAGGTTAGACCTTGGCACCGCTATGAGGAAGTGCATTCCAGAACCCAGAGCCCCGCACCCAGCCTGCCTGCTGCCCCACCCAGAGGAGCCTAGCGCCCGGGCAGGCGGCCAGAGCATTCCTGCAAATCCAAATGGCTTCTGCGGAGCTTGGGGTAAAGCCCACGGTGAGATGAGCTGGCAGGAAGGAAAAGTGCATATTTGTACAGCCCTTTCTCTGACAAGGTCTTGGCAACTCATGTGGGTGGGTTCTTGTCAGAAGAGAGTCTCTGCTATAAGTAGGTAGTAAAGATAGAATATTTGGCTATAGTCCATAATTAGGTGTAAGAAAAGTAATGGGGGAAGCCATTTGTCATAGGTAAGCAATGCCTATGGTTGTGTGATATGCAGCATTTTAAGTTCTTAAGGATATTGCACTGGTGAACAAAGCAATAAATTGTTGTCTTCCGACAACTGAAAAGCAAGGTTGCATGACATCTTAGCCTTCCCATTGTGGAAGATGCTGAAACACAATGCCTGAGGGGTCATGGAAGTGACTCTTGATGAGGATGGTTGGTGGTGGTCTGCAAGCTTACAGTTGCTGCTTAGGCCAAGCCCCTTGTTTCTGTGCAGGAGCCTGGACCCAGTGCTGTCAAATCTTCCAGTGTTTTAAGGGAAGCATGGAATTTGGATATTTATGTAAACTTCCTAGAATGTTAAGTATGGGCAATTAATTTCCTTTTAAAGAAAGTCTCTGTGTGCTAAATTGGACATTCCTGAGGGCCAGGTATGGTTTGAGGACTGTCTCTGCAGTGCGAACAGCTGATCCATGTGCCCTGGGGGAGGGGGTCACTGTGGGCTTCTCCCACATGCCCTGTGAGCACCACTTAATCAGATTCAACACTCATGACTCCCCAGCAGACACACTTTGTGGCTAGTAGGTCAGTTGGCCAACTCTAGGGGATGACGGTGCTACACAGCTCTAGACCCTGTACTGTGGCAAATGATTCACATGTGGATAGCTGACCCTGTTGGTGACCTGGGGTAGGTGCAGCCCAAAGTAGGAGAGACAAAAATGCTTTGATATAGTGAGGTAAAGTTTTACTTGATGCAGTGTAAACTCTGGGCTGCTGAGAAATGGTAATGTCAAGAAAGTAGTGATCATATTGAGCACTATTCTGATTGGCACATTGTGCTAGGTGTGATGTCAGCAGAAGCCCACCTTGGCATGTGGCAATTAGAAATATATATACACACACACACATATATATTTTAATCCTCACCCGAGGATATTATTTTTTTCCACTGCTTTTCAGAGAGAGTGGAAGGGAGAGAGAGAGAGAGAGAAACATCTATATGAGAGAGACACATTGATTGGTTGCCTCCTGCACACGCCCTGACCAGGGCCTGCAACTGAGGTATGTGCCCTTGACCCAAATCAAACCCAGGACCCTTCAGTCTGAGGGCTGATGCTCTAACCACTGAGAAAAACCAGCTAGGGCTAGAAATATATTTTTAAAAATGTTTTTAAGGCAGACGTAAAGCAGCTGTGTGGGTAGAGACTGGCATGTCAGATCCAGGCAGTGTGCTCTAAGTGAGCTACATGTGATAAATCCAGGTTCAGCCTAGAGTCCATGTCCTAACTGTGGAATATTATGAAGTCACTTAACCAGCCTAAGCCTCGATTTCTTCTTCTGTCAAATGGGAATATTACCTCTGCCGCATGGTCAATGCCATGAGAATAGTGTCTGAAATGGGCAGAGTATCTTGTTGAGCACATGCAGAGGCTTGG